CCTTTACCATTTTTCTGGTAAAATTAAAGTAACAAAGTTATAACCCTTTGGAAGTTTGAGTACCGCCCTGTCTCAATAATAATATTATGTGCTCGTGTTTGGCAACAACGGATATAATCCGCCGTATCGGTTCACCGCATCGGAAACAAAAAAGCGAAAGAATTTGGAACGATGTTTTTACAATTATTTTATTCAGTTGTATACAGTCGGTAACGCGTGAGTGAATAGTGTGTCTGTTGCGTGGCTCAAACGAAATAAAAAATGGCACATGTTTACGAAAATGCTGAACTTGTGGACATGATTCTTATTTGCGCGGCATCACGGATTTATGCGGATCGGTTTCCCAATCGAGTGCAACCAACCCCTCGTGCCTTTGTTAATGTAGTACAAAGGGCTCGTGAATCAGGTAACTTAAGACCTCACAGGGGAGGGCATGCCGGTGCTCCAAGACAGCACGATCAAATACAGGTTCGCACTGAAATACTTGTCGGGAGGATACTTTATAAAACAAGGTAACATTTTTTTTAATTTGTTTTTTATTTTTACACACATATTTTGGTTTATCTTCCTTCTACAATCATTATCTGAAAATTGATGACTCAACTTCAAAGTCACCCTGTATATTGTAGTTTATGAACGTTTTTCAAGGAGCTCTTCCCGTTCTCTGAAGCCACACGAAATTAAATGAATTTTTTTTAAATTAATTATGACTAAGTTGTTCATGTACAGGGTTCTCTCCAAGCTGGGTCAATATGCATTACACGAGAAATTACTAGGATTAGTTAAAATCTACGTTGAATTTTAATTCAGCTTTGCTAAAAGCACACTATATACAGGGTGGCCTATCCATGTGTGAACGGAATATTACTCATAAACAAATTCGTTTTGGGAAACTCTATTTATGGCATGTTATACACGACATTTGAGGGCGCATTTCTAAATTATTGGCAATTATACAGGGTGTCCCAATTTCGACCTACATATCAAAGTTGTTCAAATATACTAAGTGACATATAAATCCGAACACCCAGTTTAAATGGTTTTATTTTAATAAAATTTTGTATAAGTACTTAATGAAGCATAATAAGTAAATGATAAAAACTTCAAAATGATTGCACTGCTTTAAAGCCCTTTGACCTTTAATAATGTGTGGATGCACCCTGATGCGCTACGCATTCTCCAACGCGCCTAGGCATGCTTCTGATCAGGTGGTCAATGTCCTCCTGTGGTATCTCATTCCAGGCAACCACCAACTCTTCTCGAAGTGCTTCTAGAGCCTGAGGAGGACGTTGCAAATTGAGCAATCTCCTACCCATCATATCCCACACGTGCTCAATTGGGGATAAGTCGGGAGATCTCGGTGGCCATGGTAACAATGTGACATCATTATGTTGAAAGAAGTCTATTGTGACTCTTGCAACATGTGGTCGGGCATTATCTTGTTGGAAAGTTGGATCTGCCAGGGTGTCAAGATAGGGTAAAAGATGGGGTTCTAGAACTTCGTGGATATAACGCTGCGCGTTCATGTTACCTCTGATGAAGATTAAAGGTGACCTGGAATCATAAGCTATAGCACCCCAAACCATAACTCCAACAGTGTGATGAACATGTCTTTCAACAAAAAACTGTGGATTCCTCCTATCACCACGTCGCCTTCTAACCCTGGCACGACCATCGTGCATGCCTAAACAAAATCGAGACTCGTCACTAAAGACAATACTGTTCCATTCCTGATCCCAGAGTGACCGTTGTCTGCACCACTCAAGGCGATTACGTCGGTGTTCTCGTGTTAAAGGGAGGACCCAGTGTGGCCGGTATGAAAACAAACCAAAACTTCTCATTCGTCGGTAAACACTTCGCATGCCAATAGGTCTTCCGTGTTCTGCAAACCATTCATTTGCAATGGACCTGATAGTGGAGAAACGGTCCCTTAAGGCCAATAATCTTAGGCGGCGATCTTCACGGTCTGTTGTTCTACGGCGGCGTCCAGTGCCCCTTGCTCTTTGCGTACGGCCTTCTCGAAGCCATGCCTGACAACACCTAAACACAGTGTCTACACTTCTTTGCACTCTAACTGCAACTGCCCGAAAAGAAAGTCCAGCTTCCCGAAGTCCCACTATACGGCCCCTATCAAACTCACTAAGTTGACGAAATCGTACAGGTCTCCGTACTCTAGGCATCGTAACCGATCGTAAAGGATGTCAAGAACCAAAATCCGCCAACGTTGATTCTTTACTGCGGCTGAAATATTCATTTTTAGAGCGTTAGTGAATTAAAAAAAAGCAGTATAAAAACCGGAATGTCCAACTGATAAGGCTGAACATTTTTTCACTTGTTATTTACAGTAAGATAAATACATTCACCAACTTTTATTAAAATAAAACCATTTAAACTGGGTGTTCGGATTTATATGTCACTTAGTATACAAACTAACATCACAAAATTTTCATATAACCTCCCCACACTCATAAAACAATTCTAAATACGACCAGGAGCCTCTGAAGCGTCAAAAAAACGAAGTTTGGGCGATTTTTATTTTATCATGTTTATTATGCCCCCATATCAGCCAAAAACCATATCTCCTTTTTGAAATTTTTCGTAATTAGGAAAAGGAGTTATATTTTCTCAAAGTAATTGAACGAAACATATCGCAGGGCAGATCCGTGATACAGTACTTTTAAAAGGCATTTCGTCGATCTTTACATTCGTTTGCAAGCTGCCCCGCCAAAACTTATAGCAGGTCTCAGTTTATTTCAGCCAGCAATTGGTCGACGGATCTATCCTTTTTTACCGATAAATTTAGAGTGGTTATGCAAAACACCGCTTATCTATAAACATAAACATACATGCGATCAAGCAAATCTACATCCACAGCTAGTATTAGTATTTAGCCACCGAATGTTTACGTGCAAACACATACGCCAATGATATCGGGGTCATGACTGACAGTTAATCAGTCGGCTTAATGATTAACCATAAGAGATCTTGTTAAGAGACACACAGTCTATTCGAAATGCTGCATTCTGTGATAGTCTGGGATCATATCCACCACAAAAAGGTTGTCGTGTATTTAAAGCGACGTTTAACCAGGGGGGGTTGTCCCTCTTTTGCCTAGCTCGGAAAAAATTAAATGAAGAGAACATTTTTGTTACAAAAAATAGATTATTCATTTACAGCGTTCTCCACAAGCTGAATCACTATGTATTAGATGAGAAGTCTGAGTAAATATCTATTGGATGAGAAATTACTAGGATTACAAGTTCTGTCGCAAAGCAAACAGGGCAAAGAAAAAAATAAACAACAATTTTTAGTTTATTTTATTCAAAATAGTCTCCTTCAGAGATAAGAACGATTTGCATGGACCAAAAGATTTTCGAATGATGATTTTAGCTCATCGACCGGGATGTCCTTCAAAATGGACGTCGACGCCTTTTGGCCAAACGTAGTTTACCGAACAGAAAATAGTCACACGGTGCCATATCAGGAGAATATGGGGAGTGGTGGATGGTCAATTGGTTTTGAAAATATCAGCGAAAAACCGAAAATTGCGGAATTTGTTTTTCTCCAGTAAATCCAAAACGGTTAATTTGACAACTGTCAAAATATGACATTATTCGGACATTTTTGTTATGTCCGCAATATTGGATTTTTCGATTTTTGAAAAGAGCGAAAAATTTCCAGTCTAGTCATGTCTCACAAGTGCATAAAAGATTGGAGTATCACCGAAATATCATTACACGTAATGTTATGTATTAGTTTTTTTCTAAGGAGACCATGATTTATTTGTCAGAAAATAACATTAATGTGTAAGGCATAAAAAGCACTAGATTCAATAGAATATTAACGGTAATATCGACTTCTCAACAAGTCACTGTTTTGGGACAAATTCCAAACTATGAGTGTGTATTTTGCAATACTAAATAGGTGCAAAAGATTTCTACCTCAAAATCAAAATCGACGAGTTCATGTGATTTTTTTCCGGTGCTCTTAACGGCAGAAAGAATTCGTCACACAGAAATGGCTGATTTGTAACCAATACGATTATTGTTTGCAAAATATAGCTGCAAAATTAAAATATACTAAGTGACATATAAATCCGAACACCCGGTTTAAATGGTTTTATTTTAATAAAAGTTGGTGAATGTATTTATCTTACTGTAAATAACAAGTGAAAAAAATTTCAGCCTTATCAGTTGGACATTCCGGTTTTTATACTGCTTTTTTTTAATTCACTAACGCTCTAAAAATGAATATTTCAGCCGCAGTAAAGAATCAACGTGGGCGGATTTTGGTTCTTGACATCCTTTACGATCGGTTACGATGCCTAGAGTACGGAGACCTGTAAGATTTCGTCAACTTAGTGAGTTTGATAGGGACCGTATAGTGGGACTTCGGGCAATTGCAGTTATGGTACGTGTACACTGTAGAGAAAATCTACCTAGATTTTAGATTTAGATACGTTCTCTAGGTGAGACTTGTCTATGTTCTGTGTACACTATAACATATTTTAGCCCTCGCTAGACCTTCGTAGATATTTCCTAGATTAAATCTATACCAATTTCTCTATGTGGTGTGTACATAACATGGTAGATTTGATCTCGTAAAAACGTATAGGCATTATTGCACCGTAGTTTGTTGGAAGTAGTTTGAAATGTCGCGAATTAAGTAAATTGCAGCTGGCTCTGTTATTTTAATAACGAAGAAGAGAAAAAATGTTGAGCTAAAAAACAAGAAGAGAAGGATGTGGGTTAGGAGCTGGATTTCAAGAAGACAGGATAGTGTTTTTTTTGCTCAATTGGTGAAAGAATTACACAGCGAAGACATGAATTCATACGCTAACTTTTTACGTATGAGTAATAAGGACTATGAATACTTGCTTCAAAAAGTTGAACCATTGATTAGAAAACAAGATACTCATCTTAGGCTAGCTATTTCACCTTCAGAACGGCTCATGCTTACTTTACGGTTTTTAGCAACAGGTGAGTATTGAAAGACATGAGTTTGTTTTCTAGGATGTATTTAACTTAAAAAGCAAACAAAAACAACTTCTAATTAAATCATTTTTAATTGTAGGAGATAGCTATCATTCCCTGCAATACCTTTTTCGGATTCCAGTCACGACCATTTCAAGGATTATACCTGAAGTTTGTGAAGCGATATTTACTGTGCTGAAAACGGATTATCTCCAGGTAAGTAATTTTCGTAAAACTGCGTGATTGGAGGAAGGTTTGTAGTTGTATTTGTTATCGGTGCCTCTTCAAAACTTTCAACCGTATTTGAAGTTGATGGGTATGTACTCGAATGTGAATAAGTAGGCGACATTAAAGGTGTAAGTGTTCTTGATCAAGAAAACTCCACTTCATCTTCCTCGCTCATTGCAACTATAGCTTTCTGGATTATTCGTTTTAATCTTCTTTTTCGTTCATCAGAACGCAGCTGCTGTAATTCACTAGCAACATATTCACCAAATACGGTATGCTCGTCAGTTGGTGTATTTAGTATGTTTTTAGGCTTTTCTAGCATTGCATCACCTTCCTCGTCCGTTTTCTCCTTGGCTTTGGTTTTTAGTTTTTTCGAACGATGAGTTGTAGTATTTGATGTTGTTGGTTTTTCTATGCTTTGTAATTGAGACTCCTCCAGAAAATCTTCCTCTTGCGACGAAAACTGAAATAAAACAAAAGTAGCGAATAAGCTTATTTTTAGTTTTGTAATATTACTTTTTCTTTTAGATCCCAAACTCTCAGGAAGAATGGTATGAAGTTGCAAAGGGATTTGAGGAGATTTGGAATTTTAAAAACTGTTTAGGTGCTCTAGATGGCAAGCACGTGGTTATGAAAGCACCAAGGAATAAAGGCAGTCTTTATTTTAATTATAAAGGAACACATAGCATAGTCCTCATGGCACTAGTTGATGCAAAATACAAATTTCTTTATGTGGATGTCGGATGCAATGGACGCATATCTGATGGTGGCGTGTATGCAAACTGTTCATTGTCAAGAGCATTAGAAAACAACATGTTAAACATGCCAAAACCAAGGCCATTACCGGGTGAATCTGAAGATGCACCTTTTGTTGTTATTGCCGATGATGCTTTTGCCTTGACTTCCTATTTATTAAAACCTTTTCCTTTCAAAAACCAACCCGGATTTAATCGGGTTTTTAACTATAGAATATCAAGAGCAAGGCGTGTAGTTGAGAATGCTTTCGGACTGATCTCGGCTCGATTTCGTGTTCTTAGACGACCAATAGACCTACCTCCAGAGAAGGTTAAAAAAATTGTACTTGCAATATGTTCTTTGCATAATTTCTTACTGACCCACAAAAGTTCGGCACATTTATATGCCCCAAATGGAATATTTGATACTGAAAATGATGGGAACGTTATCAATGGGAGTTGGAGAAATGGAGGAAATCCTATAGCTAATATGGTTCCTTTACAGACTACAAATGTTAGAAACCCATCGAAAACAGCCAAAGAAGAGAACAATTTGAAAATTATTTTGTATCCAAACATGGTGAAGTCGCCTGGCAGTATAAATATATATAAACATAATACCATTTTATCTGCTTAATGTAATATATGTTTCTAATGCTGAAAAAATGTTTACTCACCGTATCCCTAAAGTTTGCAGTGCTTTTGGTGCTCCCAGAGCAACCCATCATGAACTGTAACGCATCATAAAATTCTCACTTACTTTTCCACAGTCTATCATCAGTTCCATCTCTACTTTTGTTTTTTTTAATTTTCCTTATCTCCGAATTCATTTGACTCCTTAAATTATGCCATTTTCTTCCAATTTGGCTTGAGCCTTTTTATCCCGATCTCTGTACTCCTTCAGTAAGCAATTCCAAAGTTCTGGATGTGCCTCGTACATCTCAATTAGCTTGAGAGTACTTTCTTTGTCCCATTTCATAGCTTTTTGCTCATTTACACTTGGTGGGGAAGCCATGCTTTCAACTAATCTATTTAACTCATCAAATAGAGCGAAACAATGCGAGAGTGATCTAGAGAACTAGTCTCAGTACTGTGTCCACTACAACCCTACCTAGACTAACGTCGCGCTACCGAGAGTATTACGCCACACTCGCTAGAGCAGTCTCAGTAATATGTACACTATAGACTTAGTCTAAAGCGACTCTAGCTAGCGCAAATCTCGGGGAAAAATCTATAGTGTACACGTACCATTAGAGTGCAAAGAAGTGTAGACCCTGTGGTTAGGTGTTGTCAGGCATGGCTTCGAGAAGGCCGTACGCAAAGAACAAGGGGCACTGGACGCCGCCGTAGAACAACAGACCGTGAAGATCGCCGCCTAAGATTATTGGCCTTAAGGGACCGTTTCTCCGCTACCAGGTCCATTGCAAATGAATGGTTTGCAGAACACGGAAGACCTATTGGCATGCGAAGTGTTTACTGACGAATGAGAAGTTTTGGCTTGTTTTCATACCGGCCACACTGGGTCCTCCCTTTAACTCGAGAACACCGACGTAATCACCTTGAGTGGTGCAGACAACGGTCACTCTGCGATCAGGAATGTAACAGTATTGTCTTTAGTGACGAGTCTCGATTTTGCTTAGGCATGCACGATGGTCGTGCCAAGGTTAGAAGGCGACGTGGTGAAAGGAGGAATCCACAGTTTTTGTTGAAAGACATGTTCATCACACTGTTGGAGTTATGGTTTGGGATGCTATAGCTTATGGTTCCAGGTCACCTTTAATCTTCATCAGAGGTAACATGAACGCGCAGCGTTATATCCACGAAGTTCTAGAACCCCATCTTTTACCCTATCTTGACACCCTGGCAGATCCAACTTTCCAACAAGATAATGCCCGACCACATGTTGCAAGAGTCACAATAGACTTCTTTCAATATAATGATGTCACATTGTTACCATGGCCACCAAGATCTCCCGACTTATCCCCAATTGAGCACGTGTGGGATATGATGGGTAGGAGATTGCTCAATTTGCAATGTCCTCCTCAGGCTCTGGAAGCACTTCGAGAGGAGTTGGTGGTTGCCTGGAATGAGATACAACAGGAGGACATTGACCACCTGATCAGAAGCATGCCTAGGCGCGTTGGAGAATGAGTAGCACATCAGGGTGCATCCACACATTATTAAAGGTCAAAGGGCTTTAAAGCAGTGCAATCATTTTGAATTTTTTATGATTTACTTATTATGCTTCATTAAGTACTTATACAAAATTTTATTAAAATAAAACCATTTATTAAACCATTTTAAACCATTAATCTAAAAACTTTATGGTCTGGGCTGAATAGGCTTAACATAAAATCTCGTTCAAAACAAACAATACCAGATGAGCTAGCCGATGCAAATAGTATTAACAATTATTTTATGTCAGTTTATAGTTACGACAGTGTCTCAGAAAATGTATGTCGGTTTTATGACAGCAACAAATTGGACAATCGAAATCGTTTTTCTTTGCGAGTTGTCGAGCCGGTGGAAATATTGAAGGCAATCAAAGATATCAAATCAGATGCAAAAGGAATTGACACCCTCTCACTAACCATGGTCAAAGTAAGTCTTCCCGTAACTTTTTTCCATATCACCCACATAATAAATTCATGTTTGGAAAATGGCTACCACCCTAAGCTGTGGAAGCTGGCTCTAATTATACCTGTCCCTAAAATATCTAAACCTACTGAACTTAAGCATCTTAGACCCATTAGTTTGTTGCCGGTGCTATCGAAAATTTTGGAAAAAATTATACAGCAACAAGTTGTCCATTACATAGAGGAACTAAAAATAATATCGTCATGTCAATCGGGCTTCAGGAAGCACCATAGTACCATCTCGGCACTGTTAGATCTTTGTGATAATGTTATTAGGGCAGTTGACAAAAAGTTAGCAACAGCAGTGGTATCAATTGACTATTCCAAAGCATTCGATCGAATAAATCATAAACTTTTGTGCGCCAAACTGAGGTATATAGGCTTCGATGATGCTGCTGTCAGTTTTTTCCGTAGCTATTTGTCCGGTCGCACGCAATGTGTCGCAATCAATAACGTTCAATCCAATATTACGACTATTCCGTCAGGAGTTCCGCAAGGCTCACTTTTGGGACCTGTGCTCTTTTTGATTTACACGTGTGACCTGCATAAAGCAGTTGACAATTCAGGGATACAAACATTTGCTGACGATACTCAAATAATATTCCATTTCGACGCCTCAGATACGCAAAATTCATCAGACATTTTACAGCTTGATTTAGATAAGGTACATCAGTTTTCTATGGAACATAATCTTACTATTAATCCAGATAAGACACAAGTGTTATTGTTTTGTTCTGATCAGAAGAGGAAAACTGTCGAAGATTCTTTCCATCTGACTATTGGTGGCATAACATTACAGCATACTCAAACAGCTAAGGTACTAGGAGTGGAAATTGACACAAAATTAAGATTCCGCAGCCAAATAGCTAATTTGATGAAAAAAACTTACCTGTGTTCTAGGGCTCTTTATTCCAATCGCTACTTGCTTAACTTTAAGCTGAGAAAAAAACTGTGCGAATCTTTGGTGATGTCAATGCTCAGTTACTGTGATGTCGTTTATTATCCATGTTTGGATCAATTGACCAAAAATCGTCTTCAAATCATCCAAAATAACTGTGTTCGCTTTATTTATGGGTTGCGTAAATACGATCACGTAAGTGATAAATATAGGGAATTGAACTGGCTTAGGTTAGGAAGTTTGGTTAAACATAAATTCTTAGTTTTAGTTCATAAAATAATATTGTCATCAAAGCCTGAATATCTAAGAGCTAAGTTAAGATTTAATTACGAAGTGCATGACAGGGCTGTTAGGAATCGTTATAGTATCAGAACCACCCCACACACTTCTGCATTATTCCAACGAGGATTTACATATAATGCAGCACTATTTTATAATCAGTTGGACAACAGTATTAAATTGATGTCTTTGGAAAGTTTTCGTAAACATACTAAAAGCATGTTGCTCGCTATTGATTAAATACGCATTTCTGCTACAGATATAGATTGTGTCTATTTGTATTTTATACTTAGGTATATATGTTTTCTTTTTTCCATTGTTCTTATATATATATTTTTTTTCCATGTTTTGAACATCAGATGTAACCGACATAAACAGTTAAGTGTAAGAGTAGCCTTGGCTAAACTTCGCTGTTTATGTCCCTCCGGGTTATCCAATAAAGACGTTATTATTATTATTATTATTATTATTATTATTATTTAAACTGGGTGTTCGGATTTATATGTCACTTAGTATATATAAGAAACATACTAACTCCACCAATACAAATCGACGAGTTTATTTCTGCACACTTCTCTGGCAAAACAGAAAAAAACTCGTTGGGACGCTCGTATCAGTAAATAGAAATAGCCCCACAAAAAATGTTTGACGCTGATTGGTCAACCAATACGATTATCGTCTGCAGAATATTCTACGGCGTTCTGCTAGGTGTATGGTTTGTAGGCGGGTCTTTCGTGGTTTTTTATCTCTCACAGAATATCATTGGTTATTTAGAATTCCCTTTGCTTGCTATCATGCAGGAAACGTTGATACGGGATTTTCAAAATACGCTGACAGTGGATAGTTTGGTACTTGCCGCGAGAGTTGATTATCAATTAGTATGCGTACAAATTTTTCTTTTTTCTGTATTGTGGTTCATACGAGATGCTGAGAGACTGGACGTATATTCGCATTCGTATATACACAATTTCAAGATGTGTACGCTCAAAATAAAACCTTTATTTGGGCCTAGAGAATAAATTAACGCATATTTTCAACATGAATCTTAATTCAAGGAACTAGAGTAACATATTGGCAATGCGGCAGATTGCCGCGTCAGCATTGCTAGGTAACGCGGTGATGAGATTTGCTATAGAGCCGGCTTCTATTTCTGTCTAACATATTTGTCTATACACACTTCACTCTTGTACACATTGAACTCAAGCCTTCAGATAAATTTGGTTTTCCCTGTATGGAGTGCGTCTCGGAGGTTCGTTTCTCTGTACAGGGATCTCCGCTCCTGTTATACCTACAGCAAAGGTTAAATGGGGAAGTTTTAGAGGAAACTTAGTGCTTTCGATTATTCGTTTTGAAAACATCAGTGAAAAATCGAAAATGGCGGAATTTGTTTTTGCCAGTAAATCCAAACCGATTAATTTGACAGCTGTCAAATTGTGATATTAATAATAATAATAATAAAATGTCTTTATTAGGCACATTATATAAACTACAACGTGACCTCTACGTAGGCGAAGTCTAGCTCTTGGCTACTCTACTTAACCTACCCAAATAATAAATTGAAACACTTAATCAAAGGAAACTTTGACAAGCAGCAAAAGACGCTTCAAAACAACCATCTTGATAGCTTCCTAACATACATATATACACACATATATTACGTAAAAATAAAATAAAATGTAAGAATTAAAAACTAACTTTTCCACAATTACTACAATGACAAATAAATCTGTTTCACATGCTTACGAAATCTGTTTACTGGCCAATCCTTTATATTGTCATCTAATTCGTTATAAATCAGGATAGCATTGTAAGTGTATGAACTACGAAATAAAGTTGTTTTATACATAGGGATCTCTAGTCTTTTTTTGTGTCTGAAATCAATGTATGAATTATTTCGTCTGAAAACAAATTTCTCATAAAGATACAAGGGGGATCTAGAAGATATGATCTTATGTGTAAACACTGCTATATGGTACTTGCAAGCATTTTCTATACACATCCAACCAAGCTGAAATCTCTTTAAGGACACATGATCATACTTCTTG